CCCCCCATTCCCCCCCCCCCCCGCCTATCAAGGCAGAGTTGCAACTCAAAGCCTTTTGCCCTTTCAAAGGGTCTCAGTCCCACTTGCTTGCCGAGAGGCATCCAGTTCCTATTCACGGTTTCTAAAAAGCCATTTCATCTTAGAAAGAAAAGCCCAGTCCATTTGCAGGCATTCAATCCTATTCCTGCTCTCTTACTGTCTCTTGGAAACCTTTCAGAGGGCATTTGTTCAACCTGCCAAGTTAAATCCTTCACTCTCATGTCAAAGTGTGCAGGGGGGGGGGGCAGGCAGGGAGGGAAGGAGAGAGGGAGGGAGGAAGAGATCACTCAGAACACCCAGTGTCACATTTGAGCTGTTCACACAGTTCTTCTGGCCCCAGAACCTCCTCGAAAGATCAGATTAGTAATTCAAGCTTCCTGTGTATATATAGGAGACATATGCATATACAAAACACATACACACACATATGGGAGTGTAGAACAAACAACTACCAGTGACGGCAGGGCATCTGAGACTTCTAAACCTGGCTCCTGTCTCAATTCCCTGGGTGACTGAAGGGCCAGTGACCAAGTCAAAGTCCTACTATGTGGGCCAGGCTGATCATCAGCCTCCCCGTCCCCCCCCCCCAAAGTTTCTTAGGCAAATGTTTAATTATGCTTCTAATTAAAGAGGAAGGGGAGGTCCTTGGGCTTATTTTGGAAAAAGTTCGTTCTGAGAAGGGAAGCCTTATTCACATGTGCCTCCAGCAGACACACACCTCCAAAAGTTTGCAGGGCAGAGAAAAGGAACATCTTGGGGGTTGTTTGTTTGTTTTTCCCTTTTCTTTTTCTAAACCAGCCTAGGAGACTTTCTCTGTGTAAGGTCAAGACAGGAACTCAAAGGCCAGGCGGGCTCCGATTTTAACTGCTTGCACCGCAAGCGTCTTTCAAGCGCTCTTCGGCTTTTTTATTTTACTTGCCAGCATTCCAGCCAGACGGGACCCCCCCCCCCATTTTACCGAAGGCAGGCTCCCCCCCTTTCCCTCCGCTCCCCCTTCTCCTGGCTTCCTGGACAGATGTACGAAGGGAGGGGGAGCTCTTCCAAGCTCCCCCTTCCTGCCTCGCTAGCGAGGCCTCCAGTCCCAACTGGCGAGCAGGCGGCGTCCTCCCCTCGGTCCCACTTCCCAGCGCCTGCACCCGCCGCTCTGCCTGCTCGCCTTCCCCGCCGCGTGCATCCCCACTCTCGGGCGCAAACTCTCCTCCGCATCGACCGGTTCGGCTCCGGGGCTCGGGAAAATCGGGAAGGCATCGCCTTTGGGGAAGCGCTTGGCAAAAGTGTAAAGCCGGTCAGGAGACAGGAGAAGGGGGGAGCGCCAGGAAGAACGAGGGAAAACACACACACACACTCACGCCAGCCAAGCAGAAGCTCCCCGGATTTATTTTTAAACCTCCTTTGTTTTTATGGTACAACCTAGTTGCTCCGGTGTGCCCCCCCGCTTCCTTGCCAAGGCAACATTGTTTCGGCTCCTCAAACTTCAGACACACAAAAAACACCTTTTGCTGATCAATCACATTACGCAGATCTCGATCTCTGCCCCCCATATTTTTTTTGCACGCCTCCCCCTCCCGTTCGGATTTTATAGGGGAAAATAGAACACCTGGCTCTTCCAGCGCTCTTCTCTCCTTGCCGTCGCAGAAAAATCAAGTTATTAATCTCACAGGCCAATTAATTAAGCGCATCCCCCTTTCCCCCTCCCCCCGGGAGCTCCCGGGGTCCCCCCCCGCCCGACGACACCGAAAGGCACCCCGGCCCCTTTAAGAAGTCTTCACACTCTTCTCCCGGCTGGCACTCGCTCGAGCCCCCGTTTTGCAAGCTCGCCACCAGCCATTCCTCGCCAGCTCCATCCTCCGCCGGCCCGCTCGCTGCTCTCCGCTCCCTTGACTTCCATTGTTTCTCCAGCCCCGGCCGGAGGCCCCCAGCGGAAGGAGCCGGGCACGGGCTGCGAGCGAGGCGCAAACTTACCTATGGCTCGGGGACGGAGCGGGGGAAGGAAACGAGCACGGCTCGCCAGCGGGGAAAACGCATACGGAAGCAGGCAGGCAAGGCAACCATCAAGAGAAGAAGGGTGATCATCGAAATAAATCAAAATCAAAATAGTCCCTCTCCCCTGCGGATTGCAGGTCGCGGTCCGGCGGCTTTGAAAGGTGAAGTTTGCGGGTGTGCGTGTGTGCGTGTGTGTGTCTTTCAATCGCTCTTATTGCGTGCTTTTCCAGGAAAAAAAAATAAAAACAAAAAATCAACCCCAACCCTCTCCCAGACAGGGAAAAGGAGCACAGTGTTAGTAGAAGAATAAGTGAATCAACTCGCAGAGAGCACAGCAAGTTGAAGTGTCAAATTACATTGGCTATTTTATTACCAAAGGGCCCCGCTTCTGGCTGTTGGCAAAATCTGTCCCAGATTCCTATCTGAAAGGGAGCTCGAAAGACGCCTTCCGCTCGCCTGCTCGCTCGCTCGCTCCCTCCCCCTCCCCGCACCCCCCTTCGCTTCCACTCCACCTTCTGACCACCGAAAGTTGCAATCTTGAAAAGCCAAGTTGAACAACGCAAATAATTGTCTTTCGATCCCTTCCCCCTCCCCCCGCCCGCATCAAAGGGAAGAACTTCCTGTCTGGAGGAACCAGCCGAGCGCAACCGGGCCCGCTTATTGATAAAAATTAACCGGGGAGGGAGGAGGGATCCCCACCCCACCCCACGAAGCCTTTGGCACTTTCTCCTCCGCCGTTCTCTGCAGGGGGAACCCCCCCTTTACACACACACTCACGGGTCGCTCGCGTGCAAAACAGCTGCATTTGGAAAGTCAGAGCTGTCTTCCCTTTGCACGCTTATTGTTTGGCTCGCGCTCCGCTTCCCTCGCCTGGAATGGGATTCGGAGTAGCGCGCAGCGCCCCGGGAAGGGGTTTGGAGACGGGCCTTCGGACCGGGACCGGTCGCCCTGCCCGGTCCCTCGCGCCTGCTCTCGGCCCCCCCCCCCCCCCCCCCCCCTCCCCCCCCCCCCCCACCCCCTCACCCCCCCCCCGCCCAGCGGAGCTCCCCCCCCCCCCCCCCCCCCCCTCCCCCCCCCCCCCCACCCCCTCACCCCCCCCCCGCCCAGCGGAGCTCCCC